TTTATCTAAATATGAGCATCAAGACACAAAAAAATTATTTATAAATTCCATTGCGTGTTGTGTTAATTACAATGCAACTTTTTATTCGCAAATGGAAGGCAAGAAAATTAAGTTGGCAATTTCCACTTTTGCTGTTTTTCTTCCACTCGAACTGATAAATTAATTTTCTTTGTTCTTATTTTAATAAAAAAATATTTAATAATTCCCATGACGTGTGTGTGTGGAGATGAGTGAGAAAATTCTTTTAATTACATCATTGGGTATTAGGATGGAGAGGAATTAAGGACGGAATGTTCTTGAAAAGTCAACGGTTTGAAGGAAAAATCCTCAATATATTCCAAATCAAAAAAAAAAAAAAAAAAAAAATAAAGACAAAAAGTCTTCGCAATATATCTGACAAAAGTCCGCAGAATATTTTTGTTAAACAAATTAACCCTCAGTTGAATCATTAAATGGGTCTTTTAGGTCCATTTCTTCAAAATACGTATCTCATATTTTTTGTTTGCTTAACTTTCATATATTTATTTTAACAATAACTCCCCTCCACCCATCTCACATTCTGCCTTATAGTTGTACAACAATTTTACGAGTCGGAGGTAAACAATGAATATGTCATTCGAGGCAATGCGGCGGTTCTGAAATGTTCCATACCCTCGTTTGTGGCCGATTTTGTGCAAGTTATATCGTGGCAGGATGAAAGTGGCGAACTATATGCCACCTTGGATGAACAACAGGGCACGGGTACAACGGAAATATATTCACTGATCTTAAACAATTTAATGTTACTTTCTTGGTTAGCTCTACAAAATCCCAGACCCACAAATTTCCTATCCCCGAAAAAAAATATATTTTCCAAAACATTTTCAATTTTATTTTTGCTTTGCTTTGTTTTTCTTTATTCTCTAGTTGTGAATCAATATTATGAAGCCGAAGTTGTCTCCGAATATGTTATCAAAGGCAATACAGCGGTATTGAAATGTACAATACCCTCATTTGTGGCCGATTTTGTTAAAGTCGAAGCCTGGCTCTCGAGCGAAGGCTCTGAATATTTACCCAGTGAAGATTTTGGTTAGAGTTTTGAAGACATATTTCTTTAAAGTATTTTTAAAGTTGTATTTGAAGATTTCCAACCTTGACATCCTTTTGTATCCCCTGTTTATCTTTTATTAAGTTTTCTATTTTATTTTTTATTTACCTCTTACACATTTTATATTCTAGTGGTCAACCAATTCTATGGTGCCGATATTTTGATGGAATATGTCATTAAGGGCAATTCGGCTGTATTGAAATGTTCGATACCCTCATTTGTTGCCGATTTTGTTAAAGTCGAATCGTGGATCGATGAAGAGGGCACCGAATTGACACATTCCGATAATTATGGTTTGTTTACATTTTGAGAGAGAATTTTGAAAGTTTTTTGCAATTTTTGAAAATAGATTTTTTCTACTTCTTCTTCTGCTTGGATGTAAAATAAAATGTTGGGGGATTTTTTTCTCGGTGTTAAAAGTTATATTTTTTCTATTCCCATTTTGAATCCTATCCAATGTACAGAAATTTTTTTTAAGATTTTTTATTAACTTTTATATATTTTAGCGTTAAAATTTAAGAGTCATTCGGATATGTTAAAAATTTTTATTGGTAATCTTCGTTGGGTTTTTCGAAAGACCCACTGCAGTGGTTGACTGATATTCTTTATGTTAGCTATATGACGACATGATTTTCCTAACTGTTACTGCCTAAGAGATGTATTTCCTCAGCTCTGGAGAAATCGACGCTACTTTGTACTAGCAGGCTTTGATCAATACTTGTCCTTCTTGGGTTGCAAGGTGGTCCCTTTTTATACCATATCTTTGCGTACCCTGAGAACTCGATAATTTCAAATTATATGTTTAAACCGGGAGGTACTTGTACAGTTTTACGTTGGGCGCCATTTATTATGTTTTCATATTTTTTGGGTTCCTTTTTTTGTTATCAAAGGCAATGCGGCAGTAATGCATTTAAAGGCGCCACCTTTAAGTGATTTCGGAAGACCTTCGAAATTCCTGAGAACAGTTTGAAGCCATGCACTTTATACCTTTTAATACACTGTGAACTCAATAATTTCAAATTATAGGTCTAAATCGGGTGGTACTTGCAATGTGTTACGTTGGGCGCCACTATTTTATGTCTTAGTTGTGTTTCGAAATTTTGTTTAATTTTTTTCTGGAAATTGAAATTAATTTTTTACAAAATTTTCCATTGCTTCCTGTGATCTGTGTTTTCATCGGAGGAATTCAGGGGATTTTTTTAGATTGATTGATTTTGATGATTTTCATACCTTATGAACTGAATCATTTACACAACATATCGAAATTGGGATGCGCATTAACTATGTTATGCTGGGCGCCACTTTATTATGTCTTCATGGCTTTCATGTTTTTATTCCATATTGTGAACAAAATAATTTTAAAAATATATAAAAATTCGAAGTTATCTTCAATATGTTACGTTGGGCGCCACTTTATATATCTTCGTGGATTTGAAATATTTTCTCTTTTCGCCATCATTTTTTTATTTCTGTTTTATAAAAACAATTTCCCCTGCTTAATTTTTTGAAATTTAAACGAATTTATTTTTTTTTATGAAAAGTTTCCCTTGCTTCCAGTGTTCAATTAACGTTGTGAAGCCGGAATGATGAGCGAATATGATATCTAAGGCAATTCGGCAGTATTGCCTTCATAGGGCGCCACCTGTATGTCAATTCGGGATACCTTCTACATTTGAAGTTATATTTCATCCATACTATACCTTTTCATACTTTGTGGACTCAAACGTTTTAGACAATATGTAAAAGTTGGGAGGCGCATTTCTTGTGTTACGTTGGGCGCCACTTAATTATTTCCTCGTGGTTTTCTAATATTTTTTCATTTTTGTAACATTTCTTCTTAAATCTGGAAATTATTTAGACATTATTTTTTAAAAACTTGCTTCCAGTTGTCAATCAATTTTATGAAGCCGAAATCATGACCGAATATGTCATCAAAGGCAATGCGGCGGTATTGAAATGTTCCATACCCTCATTTGTTGCCGATTTCGTAAGGGTAGAATCGTGGATAGATGAAGAGGGCGAAGTTTTGTCGTTTTCCGATAATTATGGTTCGAAATAAATCCATTTTAAAGTTAAAAAATTGTAGATTTGATTAAAAACGTTTCCCACTACCCTCTCCCTGATTTTGATTTTGATTTATTTTTTTTTTTAACTTTTTCAAAAATAAATTTTATTTTTAATTTCTATTTGCTGCATTCTTTTTTGCAAAACTATTTTTAGTGGTCTCCCAATTCTATATCACCGAGGCCGAAAACGAATATGTCATCAAGGGCAATTCGGCTGTTATGAAGTGTAAAATACCCTCGTTTGTGGCCGATTTTGTACACATCGAGGCCTGGGTTGATGAGGAGGGTGTTGAGCTCTGGCGTAATAACTCAACACAGGCATATGGTACTTATTTTGAAGCCATAAAAAAAGTTGAAACGAAATTTAGATATAGCTTAGAGTTTTTTATTCGTGAAGGGGGAATGTGTTTGTCCTGAAAACTTTATCCCAAAAAATCCTAGTTTTTTCTAAAATTGTCTTCATTTTCGTATCTTTTGGTTTGAAAGTTAATTTTAAAGAGAAAAAATACAAAAATTAATTAAAAAGGTGGAAATCAAATTGAAAAAAAATTATAATTTTAATTTCTCCTTAAATCTGCAAGGGAAATTATCAAGAATAGCATTTTCGCTTGAGATTTCCTCACAGAAATTAAAACTTAAATTTCTCAGTGCCAAAATTTGAAACTTGGGTAGAATCCCAAGAAGAGTTCCCTTAAAAATATCTTTGGGTTTTTACTCCTTTTCTTCTCTGTAAAAACTTGAGTGGAATCTAAGAGAGAGTTCTCTTTGAAATATATTTTTATTTGCAGTCCTTTTTAAACATCAGTTTTTGCTCTCCAAATCAAAGGTACTCTTTAGCCGAGCATTAATTTCTTGACTTCAAAACATTTTCTCTTTCCTTTCTTTGAAACAAAACACTAAAGTTGTCATTCAAACCTATGAATCGGAGGCCGACAATGAATATGTCATACGCGGCAATTCGGTGGTTATGAAATGTGAAATACCCTCCTATGTGGCAGATTTTGTGTTTGTCGATCTCTGGATGGATTCCGAGGGAAATAATTATTATCCAAATAGTGAAGAGACTGGTAGGAGAAAATTGTCAAAATATCGATTTTTTTACAATTTGCTAGGCATGCTGACCCCCAAACGAAGATGGAATCCTCTCCCTTAAATTTAATGTTTCAAATGGTTTTCATTTCTTTTTTTTTTCATTTCCTCTTCAGTTGTCCATCAGTTCTATCAGACCCGTGTCATTGATGAGTTTGTTTTGCGTGGCAATTCGGCCATTTTGAAATGTGCAGTGCCATCGTTTGTGGCCGATTTCATAGAGGTTGAGTCATGGGTCGATGAGGAGGGTATGGAAATCTTTAAACCCTCCAAAGATGATAATTTGGGTAACATTTTCTTTCAAACTTTGCAGATTTGTGTTGTGAAAAAACAAAACAGATCCCACAATCCTTTCAAAATCCTTGGGCCCATACTAAAAAAATTCCCTGATTTGAGAAGTCTATGTTAACTCCTTTTTTCCTCTCTCTCTGATTTTCCAGTTGTTAAACAATTTTTCGAATCCCAAGTCTATGATGAGTATGTCATCAAGGGCAATGCAGCCATTTTCAAATGTCAGACTCCCTCCTTTGTGGCTGACCATTTAGAGGTCACCGATTGGCTGGATACCGATGGTGGTGTTTATACCAAAAACGAAACGGGTATTACAATCTGCGATTCAATAAAATTTCCCGTAGTTTTAGTAACAAAATTGGAGGGGGTATTTTTTAAGTTTTCCTTAAACCTTTTCTTTTGATTTCCTTTAATTTTTTGGTTATCTATTTATCTCTCTTGAAATTTGTTTTATTTTTCTACCTTAGTTGTACCCCAATCCTATACGGTTAATGTCATGGACGAAGCTGTGCTTCGTGGCAATAGTGCCATTTTGAAATGTCACATACCCAGCTTTGTGGCTGATTTTATACAAGTTGCCTCGTGGCTAGAAGACGAGGAAAGGGAAATATTACCCACCTCCAAGCAGGACATACAGAGTGGTAAATAGCAAATATTTATGTCAATGTGTTCAAATCCTCTCTTTCTCACTTTCAACTCAAAACATGTTCCTTGAGATCATTTCTTTCCAAATAAAAAAAAAACAAATCCTTTTTGAGGTCGTTTTCAGTTTCCAGTTTCGGCAAAACAATAATATGGGTATTCATGGTTAAAGTTTAGGTTCAGTTAATTTAGGTTTCATTCATTTCGATTTCCTTTTTTATTTTCAAAATTACGTTTTTTTGTTTCTTTTCTTCATTTCCTTTTCATTTGTTTCTTTTAAAATTTCCCATTCCCAACTATATCCCATGATCCCACACATTCCATAGGCCATTCCTGGCCTACCCCTATCACCAAGAGAAAAATCCCCCTTCATGTTTGTTAGTAGTGGTAGTAGTAGTAGTTTTCGTTACTTTTTTGTATATATTTTTGTAAATATTTGTGTAAAAAGTGCTTTAATTGTCGTCTAAAACATATAACAAAATTTAATAAAAATTATAACCTGATTTATTAATTTGTAAAAATTAAAGCATTTTTTATTCAATTGCATGTCATTTTTTATGTAAATATATTTTATATTAGAATAATGTTTAAAGGATGTTGAACTAAAATTTGTAAATAAACATCCTTTGAACATTAATAAAAATAGGAAGAAAATCTGAAAACTTGTATAGAAATAAAGATCACAGTTTCATAAAAAAGGAATTAAAACTCGGAAAAAATAATTAATAATTAATAACTTTAAATTATGTGTTGGATTTATTTAGAAAGCGTTAATTTCAAAACGAAACTGACAACTTTGCAATGTTTGCTGTTTGTTTTTATTATCATGATTTCATTTCGGCGAAAAAGTGTTGCCTAGTTCACGAGCAATGTAGTTCAATGGAACGATTCACTGTAAAGAGGGAATGAACTAGTTCGGTCACAATCATTCATAGCGAAGCTCATGCATCGACAAATTTCGATTGAAATGGATTTTATTTGCCTATGCACATATTCATTTCGATTGACATTTGTTCGATATAAAATGTGTAAAGTTGGCACTAGGAAATAGATCAGCCAGGGACCCGGCAAATTAAATAATTAAATAACAACAAATAAAAATTGTTGTTATTAAAATAATTAAATAACAAGAAAATATTCAAAGAATGACTGAACTATATGCATCTGAGAAACGATGGAAAATCAATGGAACTATCAGCGAGTCTTAGTTAAATAGCGAACGACTGAACTAAACAAAAGAACTAGAGATTAGTTCATTGACACGATGAATCTTGGCTTTAAATTACATTCCGTATTGATTCAAAAAGTGGTATTTTCAAATCGAAGCTAACAGCTTACAACGTTTTCTAGTTACTACCATGATGATTTCAAATCGGCAAAAAATGGAAATAATGGAACTGAAAACTGTTCACAAACGGCTTAGTTCAATTGACCGACTCATTTAGAAGAACAGCTGAAGTAAGTGAGTCAAAGAGATCCCTTTTGATTATATTTGGAGTGAGGAAAATTCTAATGATCCAAACCGTCTGAACTTAACTGAAATAGGGAGCCGGCGAACTAAGATAACGAACGTAAATAGTGAATAGCACATCCAGATGAGCACTCCAAAGCGATGTATGGACTAAAAGACGGAACTAGTTCACCAAATGAATGGTCCAAAATAATGAACTAGTTGATCGAAAATTACTAAACAAGAAATGGAAATAAGCTCTTTTGACTGAACTAGTTCATAGTTCGCTATTTGGGTCAATAATTCGAATCAAAATCGTTCTCCACAAAAAGCGACCGTAGTTTAGCCGAGGAAGAGCATTCTAATAAAAGAAAAACAGTGTCTTACAAAAGCGGCAAAAGATTAGACTAACAGAAATACTAGTTCATTTAAATAGTGGATTAAAAAAAATAAATTAATTAAAAACAAGCTTAACAAAAAATGTGTATTTGAAAGACGAGAAACTAATTTTTTGACTCATATGTGTTGAAGTTTATACCAGAGTTGAAAAGTCCATTTTATTTCTCTGAGCGATCCATTACGTTTAGCTCTGAACTAGTTCACTATATATTTCAATCGTTCTCTGAGACTAAATCTTTATATAACAAAATACAGCGACCGTAAAGAACCGATAAAAAATTATAAAAAAAAAAGTTTCAAAAAAATGGGCTAAAATAATGAACTAGTTAATTTTAAAGAGCTTGAGAGAAAAGAAGTGTCATTTAAAAGACAAAAAACGAATCTTTTAACTCATATTTGTTGGAGTTTATATTCGAGTTGGAAGATCTACTTTATTTTACCGGGCGATCCATTTAATTCAGTTCTATTAACTGAACTAGTTCATAGTTCACAATCTAGTTCAGTCGTTCGAATTGAAATAGTTATCCGAGACATAATCGTTATATAATCACAAAATACAACTGCGCTTGATATAAACCATAAGCAAACTAACTATGAACTAATGTAGAAGATGTAATAAAAGAAAGGCTGTGTCTCACTTATAAGTTAATGAATAAAATTATAACTAGATTCGCAATAATTCCATCACTGATCATAATTCCGTGATCTAGAATGAGATAAACTGAACTAGTTTGCAATGCATTTGTAATGCATCGTTCAATTGGACTATTTCGTTTGTGAACCATACAACTCCAGTTGCCAACTCGTACAAATCGTAATATTTATGTTATGGTAATCTTGAAAAAAGTTAGGATTTATTATAAATTGCATATATCAATTATTATAAGTGCTAGCATATCGCCAAAATTATATCATTAAATGTGAAGCTGTATTATCAATATCTTTTTGCTGGAATGTAATCATGATTGATGTATTGTAAATCATATTGTTTAAACAGACAAACTTTTCAACGAAAATCTTCATCTCTGGTAAAATGAAGAATAAATGAACCCAACCAGCATACAAAAGACTTTTAAAACGTAATGGGATCATAATATTTTATTGCGAGTTAAATGAAAGCATAGTAAAACTCGTACACTGAACTGATCTATTTTTCTCGTTCATAACCTCAAGTTGGACTATATGAAGTTCCTTTACTTCATTTAGTTTGTCCCTTAATATTTAGATGCCAATTTTCTTTAAATTTCATCGTTCATTTTGAATTTCATGGTTCTTTTTGGTTCACAGTTTCAGAGGAACTAGTTAGATAAACAAAATAACATATCCTTTCAAAATCTGTTGCACTTATAATCTCTCTTTGAGAGTTGAATAAAAGTAAAGTTAAGCAATCTCGTTTACTAAACAGTTTCTTTATCGTTTGGGAGCTATAGTTCCTCCACTTCATTTAGTTTCCCACTACATTCAGTTCTCTTGAGTTTATGATCGTTCCATTTGAATTAGATCGAACTTTTTTGATTCACAGTTCCAAATGAACTAGTTTTTCAATAAACAAAATAAGTGTATGTTCTCGAGCGAAAAAAAAAACTTCCAAAACATTAAAAATTTTAAAATTAAAACATTTATAAAAATTGCAAAAGTAGGAGATTCTTTCAGGTACTAGAACACACCAAAAATTCAATAGAATATCTATCAAAGTTTGTATTTTTGTAAATAGAGTTAATTGCAACCTGTTTCCTATCTCTACGGAAATCAGAGAGCTTAACAAAGCTTATAAAACAGAGCGATGTTGAGTAAAATTAAAATAACTTGAAATTATATTATATCATTAATTATTTTATTGTATTATATATTATTAATTATTACATATATTTTATTAATTATGTTTAGGAAAATACCGAAATGAAGGTAAACAACAAGGTGAACTGGATCCAGTTCCCATGTGAATTGTTACATTAAACTAGTTCGTTCCGAAATGACACAAATCTAAACAAGCACATTTTCGGTTTTGTGCTGTTAAATATAAAAAAAATATTTATAAATTGACATAATTTGCTTTAAAACAATATTTATCTATACAAATATTCAGATTTTCTTCTTTAAACTTTTCTATTAATATTTATATGCATGTTTATTTTTAATTGCTTGCTTATAATTACTAACATTGCGTAAACAAAAAACACTGTACAAAAATGACACTAAAATGCCACAATATTTACTAAATCTTGTAAATATGGTTTTGTAAAAATAATGTAAAAATTTAACAAAAAATTAAAAGAAAGTGTTTTTTGTTATTGCAAAGTAAAATAACAAAAGAAATATGAAGAATATATTTTAATACAGAAAGATAAAACTTAAAATTGCAAAACATATTAACATTCCAAAATTAGCTACATATTTTCTTAAATCACATTAAACTATATAAAAATAAATTTATGTTTTATTTTTAAATTTAATATTTCAACTTAAAGATTTCATATTTTCAGAGTTAAACACTTTTCCAAAAACTTTTTGTACTATAATTAGTATATATAAATATAAAATGATAATAAATGTATAAAACATAAAAAAATAATATTCTTCATATTTCTTTCAGTTAAACGGTAGTGGTTATTTTGTTACATGTTATTTGTACTTAAGGCTCTTGAATATTGTTTATTAATTTTGAATTTTTTTCTCTCACCTTCTTTTTCAAAATCTTTTGAAAATCTCAATATCATAAACTCATACCAAAAGATGGCAAATATTTGGTCTTGCCCTCTGGAGAATTGCACATTCGCGAAGTTGGTCCCGAAGATGGTTACAAGAGTTATCAATGCCGCACCAAACACAGATTAACCGGCGAAACCAGATTGAGTGCCACCAAGGGACGTTTGGTGATTACAGGTAAGTTGGCCAGATTTTTCTTAACTATATATTAATCTGTATTCAAGTATTAGTTATGGTATTTATTATGAAAAATTAAATATAAGAAAAACAAATCGAAAATAATGGGGAAAATATTAAAAAAAAAATAATATGAATGCAGAAATTGTTAAAAAGTATGCATTTAATTAAATATAAATTGTAAACAATATATTTGATAATAATTTAATTGCACATTTTCGCCAAAAGCAAAATTAAACTCGTAAACACTGGCCTTTGGGAAGAAATACTCATGTATATGTAAATATTGTTGCTGAAATGACAATTCTCAAGGTCCAACCGGTAACTTTCTTTAAAAAAATGATGTGCATCTGGGCATAACCATCTCCCAAAACTTTCCACGCCTGTTCTAAAATACAAATACATATGTACATGAATATACAATTTCCTTACAAAAAGGACCTTACAAATTTCCAAATTCTTCCAGACATTCACAGATTCCGAGTGATTCTTATACCCTTGTCAGTTCCCAGCAGTGAGTCGATGCATCTACCCGTATACTTCTACCATGGGTCTCTTGGATATCTTCTTCAGTGGTTTCGGCTTTCTCTCTCTCTCATTCAGAGAGGTGAAATTACGACTGCTTAGCGAAGTGGTAATCTATGTCTCGTATTTCTCAGTTTGTCTTCGCTTTCAGATTTCGGTTTAAATATAATTCGTTTGAAATGAAATATTAATATCACAAAAACTATAAATTATAAAAATGTTTAATATTTTATAAAATTTTAATAACGATTTGTTTTTCTTATATTATAACGAAATGGAAATATTTTAAAAGTATTTGAAGTTCAATATTAAAAATTTTGTTCATTGTTTCAAAATTATTGTTATTTTTAGAATCCAAATTTTATTCTTTAGATTATTCAACGAAATAAAACAGATTTGAGTTGGGAGTACATAAAAGTATTTTTTAACTGGCTTAACTCATCGGCGGTCTTCTTCATAAAAGAGCAAAAGTGTTTTAGGTTGATTTAGTTCAATTTCGACCTACAATTTACACTTGCCCACCTTACGATTCTTTGTTCTTGTACAAAGAAGCCATCCGATGACTTAAGTCAGTTAAAAAGGTGTTTTATGTATTCTCATCTTTATAGTTCCCTCAAAAACCTTTTGAAATATTTCCATTTAAGAGGAAGAAAAGTGTTTTGACTGAAAATAAAAACAAAATCATTTTCATGAACATTTATATATTTCTCGTCAAAATACTTTTCTTTTACAAAAATAAAAACGACATTTTCAAATAATAATAACACATTTTTTTTTTAATTTATTTTTATATAATTGCAAAATTTTTATACAAATTAGAAAATGTCGTTTTTCAAACATCATTCAAAAGGGGAAATGTTTTTGATACTAAAATAATGTCCTGAATATATAACAAAAACTAATTGCAAGTAAATAAATTCAAAAAATCAGAATAAGATTTGAAAATAAAATAAAAAATTTGCCTGGGTATTTCCAATAAAAGCTCTGGAAGAAGTTGAGATAAATCCAACGAAACGTTGAGTCAAATATGAAATTTGAACAAACTAAAAAATGTAAAACATTTCCCCTTTTCCACAAAATAAAAACAAAAAACAATCAGCATTGCTCATCTCAAAACATATGATTTTTTGTTTTTATTTTTATGTTATTTTTATTTAGTTTATAAGCTGTATTTGTAGTATTTGTTGGGAGAGAGAAAAGCAAAACATTTTCAAATATTTTTATAAAAACAAAAAACAAAACAATCAAAAAGATTTTTAGCTTAAAATCTTTTTTTTTGGCGGAAATAAAATATTAAAATAAAAAAATATAAAAATTTAAAAAATAAAAAATTAATTAAGTGTTGAAATTAATCTAGAAAATACTGTAAAGAAAAGTAATAAGTCTCATCGCCTTGCCATATCATGATAATGGCAGCGAAAACTCAAAACTATAAAGGTGACGGTACATAAGCAGCTTGGCATCATCGCTTGGCATATTTATGTGAAATTATAAGGGGAAACGGCGGCAGGATACGAGAGCGGCTCTGGCCTCCCTTTATTAAATGTCACAAAATATTTCATGCGAAGACTTCAAGCTGCTTATGTACTCACATCTTAAGTTTCATATTGAAAATATTAGTATCTGAATAAAAATAGTATGAAAGCCGAGAATTAAAAAAAGACTTATTTTGAAAATATATTTCAATTGCAAAATTAAAAAATATATATAAAATTATAATTTCAATTTATAATTTAATTTCACATAAATATTTTTTGTATTAGAAGCTACAGTAATAGTCTTCAAAAAAGTAATAATTAAAAAAAATAGTCATATGTTTACAAACATTATTTAAATTAAAACGCGTCACATGATTTGAAAATGTTTTGCCTTCTCCCGTATTATTTATATTTATTATAAAAAATATATTGAAAACTGCCTGAATGTTGGGATAGGGTACCCTAAAATTTGTTGCGCATTTTTAAATTAAATTGCAATTGAATTTTTCAAAGCAACAAATTGAAAATTTTATTAAAATGTAAAGTAAAATTGAAATTAACGTAACGTAAAAATTAAATTAAATCGTAATAAAAGTTTGTCTAAAAATGCTTGACTTGAGCTTGAGTAAAATGGTGCGCATTTCCCAAACGAAACCCTTTAAAGAGCCCCTGTTTCCAAAATATTTTCTAACTCTCTTACTTGCAAGGTAAGTCCTTAGTAAAACCCAAATTACATCAATATTATTTAATAATATATAATATTCTTTATTGAAATTTAAAGAAAATATTTATTCATTTTATGAAACAAAACACATTTACAGAACCAGTTGGTAGGGTATCACCGAAATTTCCCTCCCAACAAGTCAGCAGTACATTTGTGGCAGCGGCTTATCAAAGTTTAACTTTACTCTGTCCGGCCCAGGCCTATCCGGCACCGGTATTTAGGTGGGTTTTCATCAAACATTATCGTGATAAAAGGCATTATTTAAATTGTCAATTCCTTGGAGTATACGTCAAGTAAATAATCTATCTTCGTAAAATGCAAAATTTAGGTCTCAGTTTCCATGTTTGGTAACAAATCGGAAAAGCCTGTCTCAACTTTCATGTAGTTTCCATTAGATTTTCGTCACAATAGAAAATGTAATTGATCTTTTGAAAACCTAATTTTCCTTTAGAACCTGTGGCCAGTGTAGCTCCTCGTTTATTATCCGGCAATGATATAAAAGTAATTGATAAAGCCTCAAACTCTACCATAACTTTGTTGTGTCCAGCCCAGGCATATCCGGTACCATTTTTTAGGTAATTGAATTATTTTTAGATCAGAAATAAAATTCAGTTTCCCTATCATATGATTTAATTGAGTTGCAGATTTCTAGGTCCCTACATTCGAGCAAATATCGATTTAGGGATTCCTGTTTAGTGAAGTCAAAAAGTAGATTTCTAATTCCCTTTTTATTATTTCTCTCATCTAGGTGTCGTTCTTAATTTCATGATTAAAATTTATGAATATTTGTTTTTTTCTAGTAATCTGGTAAATTTTTTTAGATAATGCGATTAATTTGGATTTGTAGGTCTCTATGTTCGAGCAAATATCGATTAAGGGATTCCTATTTAGAAAAATAGGTGTCGCTTTTAATCCCTGATTCAAATATGAGAATATTTCTATTTTGTTGTTATCCGCTATCATTTACGATAAATAAACTAGATTTTTTAATATTTGATTTCTGATCTATTCCTGAACTGCCGGACTGCGATAACCAATTTTCCCTTTATGAGATCGAAAGAATTTCAAAACTGTTGATTCTTGCCGGTCCTGGAACAGGCCACCGATTTGCTTGAAATTTAATTTAATTCACTTGTCGAATTTTAGGTCCCTATATTCGAGCAAATATTGATTTGTAGATTCCTGTTTAGCAAATAAACAATCGATATATAGTTCCCTTTTTATTATTTCACTCTTCTCCGTATCGCTCCAATTTTATGACGAAATATGTGCATATTTTGTCTTGTACCATTTTTAGGTAATACGACTATTTTTACATTATAAAAAGCATATTAGTTTTCCTGAAATGAGTCTATTTTAGTTTTCGAATTCTAGGTTCCCATATTCAAACAAATATCGATTTTGAGCTCCCTACTTAACTAAATAAACAATTGATTTTTGTTCCCTTCTTTATTATAAAACTCAAGTGTAGATGTCGCTTCTAATTTCATAATTAAAATATGTGAATATTTCGTTTTTATCCTCTAACATTTCAATTCATTTAAAATTTAATTCAATTATTTTAAATTTCAAAAAACAAATACATTTTTAACAATCGATTTAGTTTACATATTTAATTGACAGATTGGTAGGCCCCTTGATTCACGCAAATATCGATTTACAGTTTCCTTTTTACTAAAGTAAACAATCGATTTATAGATCCCTTTTTTAGAAAAAAATTTCAATCTAGATAGCTCTATAAAACAATACTTATAAAGGACCTATCCCAACATTTTGAAAACAAACATTAATTACGTTTTTTGTTTTCAAATTATAAATAATTTTTATTTCTTCAAGAACCTGTTGCTAGTGTGGCGCCCAAATTCCCTAGCCAACAGACAAGTAGTAGCTTTACCGCGACCGCTCAAAAGAGTGTGACATTGATATGTGCTGCCCAGGCATATCCAGCGCCAATATTTAGGTGGGTTTCTAAAGAGGGAAATTCAACATTTCAATACTATTTTAGGGATTTGGTTTACAACTAAACTTAAAAACCGAAATATTTTAAGGATTATAAGGTACTGCTAGGTCTTTACAGGTTTTAATTGTCAAAATTGTGTATAACTCTATCCCAACATTTAGGATCATATTTTAGTGTTATCGCCTTCATTATCGTTGACAAATCCATTCTTTCAATTTAGAACCAGTTGCCAGTGTAGCTCCTCGTCTGACCACTGGTGATGAGTCGCGTATTGTTAAAGTTTTTCTCACCAAAAATGCAACTCTGCTATGTC